AGGACATAGGGCAAAAACCACCCTCAGTTCAGAATCACTGATCTAGGACAAAGAGTTAGATTTAACTTGATGATAAGGATGATAATCTAAGGCACTTTCTTTGAGTTCCCATTTTTGTTTTTCCATTTGGAAGTCAGAAAAATAGCAGCAGTTAAAAGTTGTTTAAAAAAAAAGCCTTAAAAATATTATCCTCAGAATCCACATTATAATATTTGTGTTTCATTTCACATCTTAACTGTTCCTCACAAGACTACAGGTGAGTTGTGCTGTCATTAGGTACCATCAGCTTGAGTACAACACATAGTGACCCTATGAACAGCAGATCTGAATCCTGCCCTAGCCTAAACCAACACCTTTGACATATTTGAGCCCTCTGATGTGGTCACTAAGTCAATTCATTTCTTTGAGGGTCTTACTCTTTTGCTGACCTTCCACCTTTCCAAGCATAATGTCCCTTTCCAAGGAAGCCCCTTATAACAACCTGCCCAAAGTATGTGTGGCGAAGCTTCACCATCCTACTTACTGTGCTTTCATTTAGAGAAGGGAGTCTTTGGCAACAACAGAAGCTGAGGTTTGGGCTTCTATGAGGTTAAATGACTTACATACCAGCACACAGTTTATAATTATCAGGGCTGAGTCAAGCCTAGATTTGGGAATTCCATATCACAAACTCCTGTCTGTACTTCTTTACCTGATAGCTTAAAAGAACCTCAAGGGAAAACTCCCTGCAGAAAAACTCTTCTGATATGACAACTGCAATCAAGACTGTTTATAACTACAGAACACATTACAATGGCAAGCAGAGCTCCCAAGAACATTCCACATATAGACAGACTATGAGAACTGCTCTGGATCAGTCACTGGCATCCTGAGACATAATTTCAGCACAGGGAAGCAAGTCATACAAAATCTCCTTAAAGGACTTCTAACCTAATTTGAGTATAGTGTTAAGAGGGTGAGCTCCCTGGCCAGGGCACAAAGAATGCGGAACCCTGGAGGGTTTTAAGGAAGGTGAACGCCAAAACACAAAGACAGGTATCTGCTCAGAGGCCACCTCTCACCATCTAAGGCAGACAGCTCACAGAGCAGAACAAACCCAGAATGAACGTCATGTTAACAAAGAAGAAATTTTTAAAAGGCCAAACTCATGAATAGGACCTCATGGGCCTGTAGCTCACTATGTAAATAAGTAAATGCTCTGGGCTCATTTCTTCATGTGGACGTGAAAAGACTGGTCTACATGACTTGTTTACCACAGAGTCTTAACAAAGACTGACAGCTGACCCTCCAGAAGATTTTCAGAGGCAGTAAACTACATGAAAGGAGACTGCACATCTTCTCACAAAGCTGCTAGTAGATTCGAACCACACATCTCTGGGTTGGCAGTACAACTCTTTTACCACTCAGCAACCACAGCTACATGATTTCTACAGGCATTTCCAATTCTTTCCCCAAACTCATCGTGCAGAGAAACAAGTTGCTGGTATCATCTTGTAATTTCATGGAGATAATATTTTAAGCAGGAATCCAACCCTATCTCAAGAAATTCATCAAAAGCAAATAAAAATGTCACAAAAGTATTTGAACCCTGTAGGGTTTCAATTTAAATCAATGACTATTTAGTAAAAGCCCACCTACTTTGCCAGGGGAACTCTAGTGGACTGGTGGCAAGAAGCTGCACTGCAATCTGGAAGGTACATGGTTCAAGATCACCAGCTGCTTTGCAGGAGGACAGGCAATCTCCTTTGTGATTAACTGCCTCTGAGAACCCACCAGAGGGTCCACTATGGGTCAATTTCAACTCTGTGGTACACAACACGCTGCCAGGAGACAGGTAATCCCTGGGGAAGCCACAATGTGACCTAAACTCTTAATTTATTTTTTTTAGCCACCTCTACCTTCTTTCATTCATTACTTCGTCTCCCAGAGTGAATAAACGCAAAGATTTCCAATCCAATGTGTGCACTAGGACTGTAAAGAAAATACTGAATGCAATTGTTTTACTTTATACTGAGCAGATTATAGATGCCGGAGATTGACTCTAGCCTACTACACTGAACAAAGTATTTTACTTTTAACATAATGTAACTATTTAAAGAGTGAAAACTTATTTGGGGACAAGAATATTGATGTTTCAAAACCCCTATGGGCAATCTGTTTGCAGTCCCATACTGTCTGCTCTATCTTACAGAATAGTTTGTGCTTTTTTCACGTAAAACTTATCATTTAGCTTGTGTTTATCATAAAACACACATTCTCACATAAAATTCAAACTATACATATGATTGTCTGCAGCCATAAATATTCATAGCCTTGGAAACCCTAAGGGGCAGTTCTGTCTTACAGGGTCTCTATGAGTCGTAACCAATTTGACAGGAATGAATTTGTTTTACTTTTGTCTGTCCACAACTATCACCTACATTCAGTATCATAAAAGACCTATTTCCCATATGAAAAAGTAGAAGTTGTAACAGCACACTCTTTTCTATTACCAAAACCTATTAAACTTTGATTAAGTGTTCATCTGAAAATGAAAAATGAGAACTAGTTCAGTAAAAGGGTCCCGAAACCCAACCAACTGTTGGATACAGTTTTTTTCAAACTAGGCTGATTCTGTACAAGTGTGCTAGTAGGTGTGTAAAACACATCTTCTCTTGAGAACGGGGAAGACAGAACAGGTCCCAATCACAGGCTTACTACACTTCACTGAGTGGCTGTCTTAAATGCTGCCTTTACAAAGCCAATCTCGACAGATAAGACTTTTTTACAGCCACTAGACAGGAGGGGTGCCTATATTTTCAGCTACAGCACTTTTTTTTTCATGTTATCTAGCACACTGAAGCACACACACATTTTATGGTTTAAGACAAATACAAGAAAATGCAAGATGATCTTAATTTTTTATTAGAATAAAAAAATCAAAGCTGACTAGGTGTTTATATAAGAAATGGGAAGTGGAAATGTGTAGCTGTAAAAAAGACACATGTAAATTTTCAAGATAGTTGAAGCAAAAAGAAATGATCAAAAATTAAGCAGATGCCCAAAACAACTACAAAAAAAGGTTTTGGCATGCCCGGTCCACTAAATAAACCCGTCAAGATCTATAATAAATTAAGTTAGAATTAATACAGAAAACACCCTCATCTCATCTCTTGTCCTGCAATTTCTAAGATATAACACAAGTTACATAGCATAGAAAACTGGTCAGGATCTATAATAAACAAAATTAGGATTAAAACAGAAAACATCCTAATTCTAATCTCTCTTGTGCCATTTTCTAAAGTTATAACACAAGCTACACATTTGGCACTACTCTGTTTTACAAATGACAGCAGAGCTATACTCCCTAAAGAAAATGATCTCAAGATTTACAAAGGATCTTATGTTAAAGTCTTTGGTAAACTATTAGTGAAATAAAACCAAAATAGGGATCACTTAACAAGATAGTGAAACAAATAACTTAAAATTTAATTTCAGTATTTAAAGGAACCATGTGCTAGCCGAAGATAATTAACATTTTCAAAATGCATCCCAAAAGTTTCACCAACGTATTAAATACTATATGGTTACCAACAACGATTAGACAAAATCCAAACCCAGTGCTAGAAATTAAGCTGTCAGCTTTCTGGGCTTAAAAACTGCCCACCGACCTAAGTCAGTAGTAAAGCACATACAGAGAGGCCAATTTCCTCCCTCCAGGAAGCACATGACAAACAGGGTGTCATGCAACTTATGTCACCGGGTCACTTAGCAAAAACGGTATTTTAACTTCTAAACTTACAATCAGATAGCCTTTACACTCAAAAGAAATCTAGGTGGCGGCATTTGGAGATGAGGGGCTTAGATGTCCACTCTCTGATATGTAAACACTGGATCCGAGTCCTAGATTCTAAGCCATGCTTTAATGGAGGCCTCCCTCAGCCTCTTCTGAGTCTGTTTTGCTTTTGCAACAGTGAAGGAACTTTTCCGGCTTTATCTCAGTTCCCTGTGAGCATGTGGTCCTGCAATTCAATATCCTAAACTGGCAGGGAATCGTGGAGGAGGGAAGGGGAGGAATCCACAGCCAAAACAGCTTTCTTATGAAAGACCAGGGGGGAAAAAAAAAATCCTAATTCCTCCTCCACCCATTGCTAACCCATCCTAGAAACAAACAGCGTGTTAAGAAAAGCAGCATTGCGAACTGCAAACGTAAGAGTTTTCCTTTGACTCTACGCAAGGTTTTCAGCTGTCAAATTACAACTCAGGAAAACACTATCATTAGAATAAAAAGGGGAACAAAAAAAGGCTCGCACCGCAGGGGCCGGGGAGGATGAGCTGCCAGCACCGTTTCAAGAGAGGGGCAGCAAAGGGACTCCACTCCCCGACGCCCGCCTGTATGCATCGCCTCCCCGGGCAGGCAAGCCTCACTGCAGGGGCTCAAATTTAATAATATAACAATAATCATGGCGCTCCTCCCTCCCCCCGCGATCTGCCGGGAATCAGCATCTCCCCCCGACCCCGATCCCCCAGGATGGCAGCTCCCGTCCGGCCCTCCGCACCCAGCTCCCCGGCACCCAGCTCCGGGCGGCCGGGGAGGTAGAGCCGGGCCAGCCGAGCCCCGGGCCCCTGGCCGCGCTTCTCCTCTTCCCTCTCTTTTTTACCTCCACCATCCCCCATCCGCATTGTCTGTCTCAATTCAACTTTGACTAATATGGATTCCTCGGGCCTGAGCCCGGCGGTAATTACAGCCCGCCCCCCGAGAGCAGGAGCCCCCCATCTCCGCCGAGTTCAACGCGGTCGCTCCGGGCGGGGGCCTGCAGCGCGCTCTCCCGTCCGCACCGCGGGCCCCGTCTACACCGCGCGCCCCCCGCACCTCCCGGGACAAGAAGTTTGCCCCGGAAGGGGCCTAACCGGGGGGCAGCGGGGACCCCCCTGCGAGCGGCCGGCGCGTAAACAGCGGCGCGGCCCGTGGGGGAGGGGAGGCGCCCCTCCCCCGCCCGCCGGCCCGCCGGCCCCATTACCTGTCATTGAGCTGGTCCTCGGTGCCGGGCAGCGGGTGAACCACGAAATGGATGGACGTCATGGTGCCTCCTTCTCGTCCTCCTCCCGAGGACGGCCCCTCCCGCGCTCGGCCACCCCCCGAGACCTCTTCCTTTCCCCAAAACCCACAGTCGCCGCCGCCTTCCAGTCCCCTAATGGAGGGAAGCAAATGCGCAGGGGCCACCGCCGTCTCCCGGCCGGGCGCGCAGCCACGGCCCGGAGAGCCGGCGGGGCGGGCAGGAGGGCGGATCAACGCGCCGCCCGCTCCCGGCGACAGCGCCAAGGAGTGCGAGGCCGGCGGCCGGGATCCGAGGCGCGGCGCCGCCGCCGCCGCCAGCGGCAGCTGGGCGTCGGGAGAGGGGCGACTGGGCAGGGGCGAGCGAAGCGGAGCGGGCTGCGGGGTCGGGGTGGTCCCGGCGGCGGACGGGATCCGGGCTGGGGGAGCTGGGAGGGTGAGCCGAGCCCGAACCGCGCGTCACTAGCAAGAAGCCGCCACTGCCGCCGCCAGCACCGCCGCCGCCATCTTCACTTCTGCCCCAGTTTCTCCGTCTCGCAGGCTCCGCTCCGGAGCGGCGGGGGAGGGGTGGACGGGAGGAGGCGAAGGGAGGAGACCGGCGGGCGGGGGCTCGGCTGCGGAGGGGCGGGGCTCCGGGGAACGGGCGGGGAGGCCTTTTCGATTGGGCGGCTTAACGTTGTCGGACCACGACGCTGTAAGGCGCGCGCCGATAGGGCTGGCCGGCTCCCGAGCCCGACCCTCCGGGGGCGAGACGGCTCGGGAGTGAGTGTTCCGGGGAGCACGTGTTAGCGGCGGAGGGCGCGCACGGGGCGGGCGGGAGCCCGGGAGGCGGGGAACGCGTGTCCCCAGGGAGGTGGGAAGGCAGTGGGGGAGGTCCCCGCGTCCTCCCTAATTTCCCTGGGGCCACCTCTGTTATGCTTGCAGACCCCTTAAGGGTGTTTTGTTGTTTCCCTCCTTTGATCCGCGGTTGTCCTTAAACTGGAAGTGTAGTATCAGATCAGGGGTCAGAGAGAAACAGCTTGTTTTCTTGGAGAAGTAAGGTAGTTATATAAGGGCCTTGCCAGAAGGTGACGGTTGGATCTTGGAGCTGATTTTGCGGTAACGTCTTTTCTATGCGGTCTCTCCCGACGGCCCCCCTATACCGGCAAAAAGGGGGGGGGGGGAAATGGACATTTCAGATAATTTGCTGATCTGCATGATCCATTATTTTATTTGTATTATTTTCGAGTGAAAGATGATATCTGTTCTACAAAGGGTGTCTGCAACGTGGAGTCCTACCTGGAAATATCTCAACGGATTTATGTGCTGCATTTTTTTTTCCTGGAAATTGGACATCGCTTTCTTCCCAAGGCTTTTATGGTCTCTTCAAAAAGTCAAGTACATCTGAGAAACTGAAATGTGAAGGCAAAAATTGAAAGCATAAAGCTACTTACTTACGTAGCCTTGTGGGTGGATGTTCGTTAAATCAGGATTCTGTAAAATGCTTTTGTGGATATTAACCCTTTTTCTCTGTAAATGCATTAAACACACACCCTTTTGCTTAGGAAATTTCTTTAAGCAAAATATATGGATATTTACTTACAAATCAAACCTTAAAATAGATGTGGGAACACTTTTGTAGGCCCCCAGGTCCAACAATGGCACTGATCAGTACCAAGAGTGATCTCAAGCCACTGTTTAGATTTGTCCCGGAAACAACTGCATGCAGTGTGAGCCGTGGACAGACAGGTGGCCCAGTGGAGACTGCTAGTTTTAAAATAGACCCGATTTGAGTATTAGTTTACTGCTACTACTTAGCTCATTTTTTACCTTGAGTAAATTATTTGAACCAACTGTGGTCCCTTCACCTCTTCTTACTTGTAGACTATTATTTAATATAGCAATAGAGTTCCACATCAACAATGTGTATATCGAACACCTAAAGCATAATAAGTTAGCATATTAAGCTCAGCAAGTAAAAGCTTTCTGCTGACTACCAGTTTACACACCTTTGGTATATGTCAAATCACATTGTTATGTGCAATCAAAGTCACCTCATAGTGACCCTAAGAACAATGGCTCTGAAATTTGCTCTATTCTGAGCCCACTTCAAGGTCTTACACACCTGAAAACATTGTACAGTCACTGTGTTACTCCATCTCATCCAGGGCCATCTACTCCTGCACTGACTCTCCCCCCTTCTAAGCATGATGTCCTGGCAACATGCCCAAAGTATATGAGGTAGAGCTTCAAAATCCTTGCCTCCAAGGAGCAACCTGGTTTCACCCTCTCCAAAACAGACTTGCTATATTCAGTACTCTTCTCCAGCACAACTTGTAGCCAATGGTGGTGTCCCCATTACATGAGGATATTGAGAGCCAGACACCTGAAGTAAATTGTCCACACTCAACTCACATAGGTATTAAAACTTAAACTTCAACCAGTGTCTTTTTATTCTGATTCCATTGCTCTTTCTCCTATACCACAGCTGCCATCGACTAGTTAATAATTTAGAAGGAACAGACTATTCAAAGCCATTTGAGAAAGATATGATGTGATAAATGCAATAAAAGTACTATGGAATTAAAGAAGGAAGTTATTCCAGCCAAGAGAATTAAGGAAAATCACTTATGCTGAGCCTTCAATATATTCTGGGCAAATAGAATTTCTGGCTTAAACCTAGTATATTTTTACATTTGTCCCAGAACCAATTGCATGCTGTGCCCGTGTCCTGCCTTTTTTCTCTATTTACCAAATCTGTCCTTTATTGTCATTTGCCTCTATCTTCCTTCTCGCTTGATTTACCCACTCCTAAATCTGTGGTCGGTCCCAGTAACCTTTTTAAAAAATGAAATGGAATGCATGAAGACCAAGATTCCAGGCATTAATGAGCTGAGATGGACTGGATTGGCCACTTTGAATCTGACAATCATCTGATCTACTATGCTGGGTATGAAATATTGAGGAAGAGTAATGTTGCACCCATAGTCCAAAAGACTAAGATTTATCCTGAATTACAATTTTTGAATGATAAAATACTATCCATATACAATACAAACTCTATACCATGACCAAGAAGCTGTTATCTGAACAGAGCAAGGGAACACTATATGGTTTTAAAATTCAGAAAGGTGTGTGTCAGTGCTGTATTCTTTCTCCACAACTACTCAATCTGTGTACTCAGCAAATCATTAGAGAAGTTGGACTTTATATGAAGAGTGTGGCATCAGGATTGGGGGAAGACTTATCAACAACCTGGGTTATGCAGATCACACAACCTTGCTTGCTGAAAATCGGAGGATCTGAGGTGCTTGCTGTAGAGGATCAAAGACTGTATCCTTCAATATGGATTACATCTCAACATCAAGAAAACAAACATTCTCACCACTGCGCCAGGATTCAGTATCATGATAGGTAGAGATTTAAATTGTCAACAATTTCATCTTGCCTGTATCCACAGTCACTCTTGGAACCAGCAGTCAGGCGATCAGGAGATGTATAGCATTGTGAATGTCTGCTGTCAGGGACCCCTCCAATGCCCTGAAGAGCCAATGTTGTTGTGGTTGTGGTGGCGGTGGTGGTGGTGTACAGTGGAGTCTAAACCCACTCATAGATGACCCCTCCAGCAGGTTTTCAGAAGCACAGGAGGAGCTTGCCTATCCTTCTCCCATGGAGCAGCTGGAAAATTTGAACTGCATGCCTTTAGGATTGCAGCACAGTTTCTTAACCAGTAAGCCCCCAGAGTTCCCTGAAGAGCAGGGATGTCAGTTTAAAAACGAAGGTGCACCTGATTCAAACCATGTCATTTCCGGTCACCTGCTATGCATCTGAGAGCTGGACAGTGAATAAGGATGGCAGGAGAAGAATTGATGCATCAGAGTTGTGCTGCTGGAGAAGAGTGCTGAATCGCTCATGGACTGCCAAAGTACTAACTGATAGGTCTTGGAGAATTAGAGAGTGTTTGTTCCTTGGAGGCAAAAACGGTGAGGCTTCATCACATGTATATTAGACATGTTGTTAGGAGATGCTATTTCTTGGAAAGAGACATCATGCTTGAAAAGGTGAAGCGTCAGCAAAGGAGAGAAATTCCCTCAATGAGATAAATTTATACAGGTCTGTAGTATACTAAAATGTGTCGTAAGTGATAAGAATGAGGCAGGACAGGGCTCAGCACTGTTGTTCACAGGGTTACTGTGAGTCATACTCAATGGCACTTAACAATAACAGCAACAATAGCTCTGGTGGCCTAGTGCATAAGGAACTCATACTTAGACCAAGCCTATACTTAGACCAAGAAGCTGTAGTCCAACAGACCAAGGGAACACTACATGGTTTAAAATCAAGAAAAGTATACATCAGGATTGTAGTCTTTGTGCATTCCTGTTCATTTTGTGTGCCGAGCAAATCATTTGAGAAGCTGGACTATATGAAAAAGAATGTGGCATCAGGATTGGAGGGAGACTTAAACTTACTTGTTGAACGTAAAGAGGACTTGAAATACTTGCAGAAGATCAAAGACTAGCCTTCAATATGGATTACATCCCATGATCATGAAAGTAAAATACCTGCCACTGGACCAACAGGCAACACGATGATAGATGGTGAAAAGATTAAAGCTGTCAATGATTTCATTTTTCTTGGATCAACAATCAACACCCTTGGTAACAGCAACCAGGAAATCAAAAGGCATGTTGGATTGGGAAAATCTGCCAAGTTGGGAAAGGACCTCTCCAAGATTCCAAATATACCATGGATGCCAGTTTAAAGACTCAAGTGTGCCTGATCCAAACTATAGTGTTTTAAATTTCTTTTTATGCATCTGAGGTCTGGACAGTGAATAAGGATGATGGAAGAAGAATCTATGCCTTTGAGCTGTAGTGTTGCCAAAATACTGATTATCACATGAGCTACCAAAAGAACAAACAGGTTCGTTTGGAAGAAGAGCAACCCGGGTGTTCCTTAGAGCTAAGATGGTGAAACTTCATCTCATACACTTTGGACATATTCTCAGGAGGGGCCAGTCTTCAGAAAAGACATCATACTGGGAA